AAGCCTGCTTGTAAAGGTCCGCCGGAGAGTCTCCTTCGGGTCGTCAGGAACCGCCTGGAGGACAAATGGCTCGTGGAAATGCTCTCGTTGATGGATTCGTTATCGTCGACTGCGTCGGGATCTTCGTCGGACGAAGAATCGCCGGCGAGAACGGCGTCGAATCGTAGGTCGGCGAGTAGCTCGGCGGCGATAGTGTGTAATCCGAAGAGCTCGTTAATGGCGGTGATGATACAAGCGATTGCGCATCGGGTGAACTACGTGTGGGTCATCGAAAAGGACTGTACTTTGGTGGGTATCGTCACTTTTGTCGATATGTTAAAAGTTTTCGGACAATTTTTGGGAAACACGAACTGAAGTGTTTCGAGCTTCTGGCATTAATGCTTCTTGTTAAACAGAAGCCCAAAGACACCGTACTTGCGAATCTTCCGAGTTGTGTTCTTCCAAAACAGATTAGGGTACGGTTTTTTTTTTTTTTTTTTTTTGCTCCCATAATAATAATTTGTGGGAACACAGGTGAGGACGATAGTGAAGCCGGGGTGCTCGCAGGACGTACTGAAAGCGGCTCTGAGCGTGATGGCGTCGGTGACTGATGTTCTCTCCACTATGTCTTCTTCTTCTTAATCCCCCCACAATCCGATTAGCACCTCTCTCTCTCTCATATCTTTTTTTCATTTACAAAAAAAACAATCATATAGTTTTGGTTTTTTTTTTTTTTTTTTTTGCATGTGCGTAAAATCGCGATCTTTGATTCTTGATTCCTCGTCTTGATCTTTCATCTACTCCTATTTCTTTAATGAGATCCCTGATCTTGAACGTGCACTTCGAGAACGATCACAAGCATGTGGTTATTTAATTAATTATAAATTGATAATTATACCGTTTTATTAAATCTCTAAATAGGCAAACCCAGAAAATCATAATAATAATCTACAGAAAACTTGCGAATTTAAGTATAAATGTAAACAAAAAAGGTGAAAACAAATGTATAAGATAGAAATTAATAGACAAATTTTTAAAAGAAAAAAACCTAAAGGAAAAACAAAAATTAGCGAACGCCAGAGTCGGAGTCAGAGTCAGATGGCTCTTCTGCCGCGTGAGATGAGACGCATGCAAGTTGGTCACCCGCTTTAATAAAACAATCGCAAAATGAAATATACGCGTAATTCGAGGGGATATATATATATATATATATATATATATATATGCACACATCCCCATTTTAAACGTGTTTATCCAAAATAACAAATCCAATTTGAACTTTGCTAAATCTCCCGGTCATGAAAGTACGTTGATATACAACCGTATTTTATTTTATATTATTACACACTGTTGATTATTATGTTGTGCTTCATTTGTATTATCGGATGTCGGATGATATCTTATACTTCTTATAGCAGCTTCATAAAGATTCGAATATTGTAAAATATAATATCCAGCAAAATATATTATTATTTGGATATAGAGGGCGAGTTTCAAAAGTGACCATCTTTTTGCAGTGTAAAAAATATATTTCAGAGAAATGCTTGACTAGTAATATAATATGAATAGACTAACATATTTTTACATATTGAATTTGTAGTGTTTTAAAGTAAACATTTGCTTTAACAGTCAATAACTTGTCAAGTTTATTTTTGGATAACCGAATGTTTTAAACTAATTAAATTCATACTTGCTTTGGAATATAAAACTTTGATATTATAATAATAAATAACCACATGCTTCGTGCAAATTGCAATCTTAGTGACAGTCGAAATCATCTAAATTAAGGTTTGAAGTGATATATATATATAGTTGTTTACAACTGGAAACGACATGTAAAATCTGAATAAGGCATGGGGCAACGACTTTTATGTTGGCCTTTTCCTTATTCATATTTTTAAAAATAATGAAAGCGAAGGTACAAAATACAAATGGGCCAATATGTAATATAATTTTCGATAACTGGAGAAAAGATTTTATTCTAAGAAATATAAATGCAGTGTGTTGTCTGTCATGTTAATGTACGCGTTGTTATTAACAAAATCTGGAGGAGAACGAGAGAGACGGAGCATTTGTGGAACAATTTTCTCATATATCTCAAAAACAAAAATAACAGAGGGTTTTATACAAATTAAGAAAGTGTCAAAATGGAAAATTCAAAACTAAACCGGAAACCAAAAACAAAGAACCAACCAAACCAACTAATACCAAAATTAATTAACTAAACCAGTAAGATTCTCTCCCTGATACTTCCCCTCAAGATGGAGAGTACAGGTGATGAACTCCCATCTTGGACAACAAGATTCTAAACTGATCTGCAACCAAAGGTTTAGTCAACAAATCAGCAATATGTGCTTTTTCGGAAATGTGAAGCGGCTTAATGTAACCATTCTTGAGCTACTCCCTCACATAATGACAATCCAATTCTATGTGTTTAGATAAACTGGATTGCTCGCAATATGTATTGTGCATTGACTGTTGCAGAAGAGGGGAATCGATCTCGAAAAAGATATATACAATTCTTGCAATAGAGAACCAATCCAAACCAACTCAGCACAAGAATGAGCCATCGATCTGTATTTTGCTTCAGCAGAACTTCTCGAAAATGTAACATGTTTCTTGACTTCCATGATACCAAAGAAGAACCAAGAAAAACACAATAAGTAGCGACAGAGCGTCGAGAATCAGGGCACGTAGCCCAATCAGCATCACAATAGCCACTGAGAGATGTCCCAGAAGAAGCAGAGTAAAGCAAACCTTGAGAAGGGTCTGTCTTCAGATAACGCAATACACGAAAGGCTGCTTGTAAATGTGTTGCCCGAGGTTGCGACATATATTGGCTAAGCTTATTAACATAAAAACTAATATCAGGTCTGGTGTAAGGCAAGTATATTAGTTTTCCAATAAGCTTTCTATACGAAGAAGAATCTGGTAACAAATCACCAGACTCCAGAGCCAATTTGGAATTCACCTCCATTGGTGTTGAAACTGGTTTACAACCCAGCATATCATATTCATCCAGCAACTCTAATGTATACTTACGTTGGCAAACATATAAACCAGCCTGTGAACGAGCTATTTCAAAACCAAGAAAAAACTTGAGATCATCTAAGTCTTTAATCTGAAAATGAGAGCTAAGCAACTTCTTCAGACTGGTCACAAGTTCAGAATCGTTGTCAGCAATTAAAATATCATCCAATAAATCAAAGCTGCAACAAACCGAGTGTCAAGCTTCTTGGTAAACAAAGAATTATCTGCCTGAGATTGTTTGTAACCAGCATTCAGAAGAACTTGAGACAACTTCAGGTTCCATTGCTGAGAAGCTTGCTTGAGTCCATAAAGAGATTTCTGCAACTTACACACTGAATTAGGTGGCACCATCTCCCTCCTAAGCTCAGCATATCCAGAAGGTAAAACCATATATATCTCCTCATTTAAATTACCATTCAGAAATGCATTTGAAACATCCATTTGTTGCAGAATCCATTTTTCGAAGAGCCAAAGCCAACATTATCCTCATTGTTGTCATCTTAGCAACAGGACTAAAGGTATCCAAATAATCTATCCCTTCTTGTTGTGTATAACCTTTAACCACAAGTCTAGCTTTGTGCTTTTCAACAGTGCCATCAGGATTAAACTTGGTTTTAAAAATCCATTTACAACCCACTGCATGTTTTCCAGATGGCAGAGAACATATGGACCAAGTATTCGTCCTGATCAACGCACCCAACTCAAGTTCCATGGCCTCTCTGCAATGAGCAGATTTTACAGCTTGTGAAAAAGTTCAAGGTTCTTGGGTGGTTGTGATATTAAGTATATAGTTGTTATAAGAGGGTTCTAATTTATCATAGGTAATAAAGGAAGAAATGGGATAAGGGGTTTTATGAGCGGAAGGCTTAGTAGAAGGGTGTGATAAAAGGTAACAATGGTAGTCTTTTAGATATTTCGGTGTAGTTGTCTGTCTGTTAGATTGACGAACATTCTCAGAAGTAACATGTTGATCAGCCAGATCATGAGTATCAGTATCAGAAAAAAACTCAGAAGAAACAGGAGACTGAGACGGTAAGACTGGTAAAGTAGGAGAAATTGAAGAAGGACATTCAACATCATACAACAAGTAAGGAGAAACAGGAGAATAAGTAGAAGGCTCTGTGAAAAAGGTTGAATCAGAAGAAGAAGATGACATGTTTTTAAAAAGAAAGACAGTTTCATGAAAGACAACATGTCGAAAAATGGAAATGATATTGGTTTCAAGATTCAGAACTTTGTACCCCTTGAATTCAGGAGGATAACCAGAAAAATAGAAGGAACAACTATTGGACTAAACTTATGACGATCTTTAAGATGCGTTGAAACATAACATAGACATCCAAAAACACTTAGCCGAGATTAGTCAGGAGAAACATTCAGAAGTTTTTCAAAGGGTGTTTTGTTGCCAAGAACAGGAGTGAGAATCCGATTGATAAGAAATACTGTTGTTAAAACACATTCTCCCCAATAGACCAAAGGAAGTTTTGATTGAAAAAGTAAAGCACGAGCAACATTTAAAAGATGTTGATGTTTTCTTTCCACAACAGAATTCTGTTGAGGTGTATAACGACAAGATCTGTAATGTAAAATCCCATTTTTGCTCAAAAAATCTGTAAAAGACAACTCTCTTGCATTATCAGTTCGAATAGACTTGACCGAAGCATGAAATTGAGTTTTGACCGTTGAAACAAATTCATAAAATTTTGCAGAAATATCAGACTTGTTTTTCAACAAATAAATCCATGTAACTCTTGAACAATCATCAACCAAAGTAAAGAAATATTGAAATCCATCAACTGTGGGAATCTGAAAAGGACCCCAAACATCCATGTGATGGATATGATGCTCTAGGATGATCATACGATATGAGAACTATGTATGATACGATGTATTTATTGGATGAATGCATTATTTGTTCATTATTTATTTTGCATATTTGATAAATAATGATTATCCATGGATCGTTATGAACGATCATAAATTCCTTAGTCGCTTGTCATTGTGGGAGCAATGATAAATTAAGACTAACATGAGGCGTGATGGATGATCATGGCAATGATCATGTGTATTGGATACGGATCACGATCATGAGTACTTGTTTGGAACAAGTGACTGGATGACTCGCGTGAGATTGTCGATTGGATTTAATCCATGATTTGAATCTCACTTGATGGTTCACTTTAGATCCTCAGACCTGAGATATCTATTGTATCCATCATGACGAGTAATGTACTTTGACTGCGTCAAACATCGTCTTTAACCGGATGACTATAAAGGCGTGGCTCGGGTACATTATGAATCATGTGATGGATAGTAGATAGTCAAGATGGAAGTTTGTCCATATCGAAAGAGAGAGATATCGCTTGGGCCCGTCGTAGGAGTGAGACTGTAGAAATGTGTGGCCGCACTATAGATGAATGTCATCTATCTCTTACAGTCTACTCGGGATACGACAAAGCATTT